TTAAATTTAAAATCTTCCTTTACATAGAATGGCAAATAAAAAACACCAGGACAAGTTGAGAAGGACAGTGCAGGAAAAGTTTATATTTTAGTGTCTTAAATGGCACATTTTCACTGCTTTTCAAACAATGGGCCCTGTATTTTCATTTTGCTCTGGGCCCTTTAAGTCATGCAACAGGCCCTGCAGATATGAACTGAATGATTAGGAGAAGTATCTCAGAGGAGATCAGCAATGAAGAAAGGGCTGTTACTGGCCAGAAAGGAATCTGAAGCAAGTACAAAACTGATTGTCAATTTTAATTAAATATTTTGAAATTTGGGAGAAATTGACTGATAACAAGGGGGAATTTGAGAGTTTTTATACTACCTTTTCCAGATTCCATGCCATGTGTGGAATATGTACCTGCGTTAGTTTCCTAGAACTACAATGACAAAGTACTAAAAACTGGTAGTCTTAAAACATCAGAAATATATTGTCTCAGAGTTCTGGAGATATTGTTGTTACTAAGTGCTGTTGAGTTGGTTCTGGCTCATAGTGACCCTATGCACAATGGAATGAAACAGTGCCCGATCATGCCTCATCCTCACAATCATTACACTTGGCCCATTGCCATTGCCACTGTGCCAGTCCATTTCTTTAGGGGTCTTCCTTTTTACCAAACATGATGTCCTTCTTCTGGCCCGAAGTATGAGAGAAGAAATCTCACCTTCCTGGCTTCCAAGGGGTATTCTGGTTGTACTTCTTCCACCAGAGATTTGTGTTTTCTTCTGGCAGTCTATGGCACTTTTAATATTCTTCTCCAACATGCATCAAATCTTCTAAGGTCTTCTTTATTCATTATCCAACTTTCACATGCAGATGAGACCATTGAAAATACTATGGCTTGGTTCAGGTACACCTTAGTCCTCAAATTGATATCTTTGCTCTTTAACACTTTCACGAGGTTTTGTGAATCTGGTTTGCCAAACGCAAAATGTCTTTTGATTTCTTGACTGCTGTTTCCATGAGTATTGATGGTGGATCAAGCAAAATGAAGTCTTTGACAATTTTATTCTTTTCTCCATTTATCATGATTTTTTTTTATTGGCCCAGGAGTAAGGACTTTAGTTTTCTTTACATTGAGGTGTAACCCATACTGAAGACTGTGGCCTTTGATCTTCATCAGTAAGTATTTTAAGTTCTCTTCACTTTCAGTAAGCAAGGCTGTAACATCAGCATATTTTAGGTTGTTAATGAGTCTTCCTCCAACCTGATGCCATGTTCTTCTTCATATAATAAAATTTATTGGATTATTTGCTCAGGATACAGATGGAATAAATATACATTTATTACAACCCTAGGTCACAGTTTTTATGATTTTAAACCATTAAGTGGCCCATAGTTTTGTTCAAACAACTGCCTCCTGCTCTATGTATAAATTCTTCATGAACACAAGTGTTATGGAATACCTCCTCTTCTCAATGTTATCCATAGTTTGTCATGACCCACACAGTAAAAAAAACCAAAAACCTTTGCATAATAAATAAAGCACAGGTGAACATCTTTTGGGTATTTTCAGCTTTCAAACAAGATCCATCTGATGTCAGCAATGGTATCTCTTGTTCAACGTCTTCATCTGAATCCGACTTGAACCTCTGGCAGTTCCCTGTGAATGTACTGCGAGAGGCCATTTTCTAATGATCTTTGTTGTTGTTAAGTACCGTCAAGTTGATTCTGACCCATAACAACCCTGTATAGGGTTTCCAAGGAGCAGCCGGTGAGCTTAAACTGCCAACCTTGCAGCTCAAACAACTTTGTAGTCTGACACATTAACCCACACTGCCACACCAGGATTTAGCAAAACTTAATTTGCATGTGATATTAATGATACTGTCAGATGATTTCTGCATTCTGTTGAGTCACCTCTCTTTGGAATGGGCACAAATATGGAACTCTTTGAATCAGTTGACCAGGTAGCTATCGTCCAAATTTCTTGGCAGGGATGAGTGAGTGCCTCCAGTGCTGCATGAGTTTGTTGAAAGATTTCAATTTGCATTTACTTACTTCCCAGAGAGAGCCTTGTTCTTTGCTAATGCCTTCAGTGCTTCTTGGAAGTTTTCCTTCATGACCATTGGCTTGTGATCATATGCTACCTCTTGAAAAGGATAAATATTGAACATTTCTTTTTGGTACAGTGACTCTGCATATTCCTTTCATCTTCTTTTGATGTTTTCTGCATCATTCAATAAGTATTTTGCCCACAGAATCCTTGAATATTGCAAGTTGAGGCTTGAATTTTTTCTTCAGTTCTTTCAGCTTGATAAAAACTGAGCATGTTTTTCCCTTTTGGTTTTCAAACTCTAGGTCTTTGCACATTTCATTGTAACACTTGACTTTATATTCCTGAGCTGCCCTTTGTAATTTGCTGTTCAGCTTTTTTACCTCCTTGTTTCTTTCATTTGCTTTAGTATCTCTATGCTGGAGAGCAAGTTTCAGAGTCTCTTTTGACATCTATTTTGGCCTTCTTCTCTTCTTAATGTCATTTTGTTTTCTTCTTGTGTGATGTTTGTGATGTCAACCCACATTGCAGACTGTTCCCCTACAGAAATTATTAAAATTTAGAGATAATCTCTGGAGTTGAAAAGTCTGAATTCAAGATGTAAGTAGGGCAATGAGTTCTGAAGGCTCTAGGGAAACATTTTTGTTTTTTTCTCTGCCAGCTTCTAGTAGCCCAGGTGTTAATTATAACTTGCAGCTGCAATCTCTGCCCCTAGGTCACATGGTGTTCTTCCCTCTTCACCTTCTATTTAAAATGACACTACTCATATTGGATTGGAGTCCTGGTGTGGCTCTGCAAGGTCGGCAGTTCAAGCTCACCAGCTGCTCCTCGGAAACCCTATACAGGGTCGCTATGGGTCGGAACTGACTCGACGGCACTAAACAACAACGACAACTCATATTGGATTAAGACACCTCCCCCTCCCATCCTGTATGACCTCATGCTGTTTACATCTTGAAAGACCCCATTTCCAGCTTGTGAATTGGTTAGAATATCAACATATTTTTTGGGGGGATGAAATCTATTCTATAATAACACCCAAACCATAGCTTTTATTGATGGCAATGTTTTAGTCGAAGTCCTATTTTGATGCTGTAGTACAGAACTGCTAATCACAGGACTGCTAACCACAAGGTTGGTAGTTCAAACACACCAGTCGCTCCTCAGAAACCCTGTGCAGGCTCATTATGTGTCAGAACAGACTTAACGGCAGTTAACAACAACAATGCTTTAGTAAGAAGTTTAATGCCAGAAGTTGACTGGAGACATATTTTGATTGGTCTGCCTAGCATATACGGGTATATATTTTGCTGAATTATTGGTTGATGTTTGAAACCAAGGCAGTTTCACATTAAGATCTGAATTTTCTCTTTCTTCTCAGAAGCAGCAAATAAACCAATCTGACAGCATTGGGTCAACATTCTAGCAGGATAACCATCAACCACAGCTGGGGAGGCATCTGCTTTTGCAAAGGATGTTGTTCTCTATTTTATTATAGTTTTCACCCAGCCTGTTCCACACACTTAATTTACCTGCCTGGATCCATGTAGGCCTTTGTCTTTCTGAAAATTACCTGCTGAGATGTATCTGCAGATGTATATAGCGTTTTGGTTTAAATGTTGTTTTTTTTAAGTGACTTAAATTATGCATATTTCCTTTTTAGATTTTCTACTAAATACGCTTGGCTTTTCTTGTCTGCCATGTAGCTGTTAGGAATCAGAGGCAAAGTGTCCAGTCCAGGTCAACTTATATGTGGCATGGGGAGGGTAGGATGAAATGCAGCTTCGATTTATTGCTGGATAAATATTGAGGTGAGGGAAGTCTCCTCTAGAGGACAGCGAGGGGAGAGCTTTGTTACCTATTTGGTATATAGGAAACACTATCTCTGCATTCTTCATCCTTCAGTCATGCTCAAGGGTAGTAAGTTGAAGAGACAGAATAAATGTAAAACTATATAGAATTCCTGGGCCTTCATTTATAATAAACATCTGGTTGTTCCAAAAAGTGTGTTACCTCCTCTGACCCAGGTTGCTGTATCTCTGCTGAGTAGGATGATTAGATTTGTGATTTTTGATGGTAGACACAAAGGGCAGTGCCTTTATTTTGATAGAGCCATTTAATCTATTGTACCTTTTTGTATGAACCCACATGTTTATTTATAACAATGTATGGGACAGTCCACAAAAGACACTCTGGTAAAGCTAATAAAGACTGTTTCCACAGAGCTAAGTAAAGGCATGTGGAAACACAATAGTCCCAAGTAGAAACCACAATAGGTCAATGTTGATAGAATCCAGAGATTGGGAGGAGCTTTTTGAAGGCCAGAAGAGAAAGAAAGTCGATTTGGAAGGATTTACTACACAGCAGGTCTTGGTGGATATTCAGTTCTGAGAATACTTGGCAGTACCAGGGTGTGGTTCATTTACCAGTGTGCAAGAGATTTAACAGAAACTCATTCAGGAGTCTCAGAATAAATCATTTCCATGTCTCACACCGGCTGCAGAACAGCCCAGCTGCGGAGCGACAGTGGACAAACCAGCGATCCTGTTTAGTGTGAATGACGCTTGGGAGGAAGGGCGTTTAGACAGGGGGCTGGAGAAGAGGGTCAAAGTCCAGGCTGGAGAGCGGACCATAAGGCTAAGGAGGGAAACAAAGCGGAACCAGAGCAGCAGCTGGCTGGTCCCCTTGTGCAGCTTGGAGGTTCAAGCTTTGGTTTTAAATAGGACACAGGCACCAGGGCGAGCATTATCTGATTCATTCTCACAGTAGAGCCTGGGAGTGCGCACAGGCTCCTTGCCTACGGGCGTGGGCAGCCCGTGGCCAGCATCCCTCCCTCGTGCGCCTCCCTGCCTAGTAGCGCCAGGCAGTGCCCAGCGAAGAGCAGGGCAGGGCAGGGCTCAGGCTGGGGGAGGGCGAGGTGGGGCAGGGCTCTGCTGAGTGGCCGTCGCTGACGCAGTGCGGGCCGAGGAGCCCTGGCGGGCGTGGAGTCCCGGTCCCCGCCACTGGGAGGCCGCGTCCCCACTGGAGGGGGCAGGGCGTGATTTCTCAGCCGCCAGGCGGCCGCAGGCTGCCTGCTTGCTCCTTCGCTGAGGTGCTAGCAGTTCCAGCGCGCTTGTCCCCGCCCCCGATCCTTGAGGGGGGAGGGGATAGTGGAAGAGAAGGGGCGGGCGCCCGCCAGCGGTGAATCACCTCCTCCTCCTGCCTCAGCGCCACCGCCACCTTTCCATTCAGTCTCAACATGGCTGGAGCGCGGCGGAGGTGAGCCGGTCGCCCCCTGCCGCCCCAGCCTCCTGCGCTCGAGCGCTGCGGCTCCAGCGGCGCCTCAGCTCTGCGGTGCCGAGGCCCAGGGGCCAGCCCATCACCCGCCGCCAGCATGTGGAGCACCTCGGACGAGAGCTCCGTGCGAGTGGCTGTCAGGTAAGAACCGAAGCGGCGGCCCGCAGCTCAGGGCACGGAGAGGACTTGCTTTGGTTGGGGGGTGGAGAGCTTTTTGCCGAGGTGGAGAGATCTAAGGGACTGCCCAGCGGTGGAACCGGCAGTTATGGAAACTGAGGCAGTGGATCCCTACCCGCCTGGCTGCTCTCCGGAGATCCCACCGCCGCCGCCCGCAGTCGGTGTTTGCAGGTGGCAGGCGGCTGAGCGGCGCCAGATTCCCCTGGGGCGTCCTGACTTCTGTGGGGTTAAGCCGTGTCGCCGCCAACCCCCGCGGGTCCCATATCCAAGGAACAATCGTCCCAGGTTTGGCCTCCTGGGTCGATCGCCTATCCGACTTTGCCTGGGGAGTGGCCTTTCTGCTGGACTGTGGTGTTTTTATTATTTATAGAGTGTCTGTCATACGTGTACTTTGCAAGTCCAGCTTTCTGAAGCAGGAGACAAAGCATCAGACTGACAGCACTTCCAAACCGCTGGGCCCAGTTGGGTTCTAGATATTTGTGTAAATGGAATGTGTGCCTTATTATTTTCACTTAATATGTGCAAACGGGTGGAGGTAGGGGAGATGATCTGGCCTCTTAGGTGTTGGAATGAGAATTATGTTTAAGGTAAATCAACGATGAGAGGTATCTAGAGGGAAGACAAATCTTCAGCAAGTGGAAGGGTTAAATGGGTGACGGGTGGAAACATCCTGAGGTTAAGCAGGGTGGATGCAATGTAATAGCAATATATACTATTATATGCCTGGGTATGAATTTCGAAGTGCTAGTTATCAAAATTGTTTTTTTGTCAATGACAGATACAGAATACTAAATGGGGTTTAGACTTCTCTGATACATATCGACAAGCAAAGCTCTGATAGTTGCTCATGGAAAATTGCAACATCACCACGCTGAAAAATTAATGAAGCATTCATGGTAGAATATGTATGTTCCTGTCACAGCTCTGACAGTCTCCTGTTAATTCTCTTTTATTTATACTTTAAAGATTAAAAAAATAACCTGACCTCCAAAAATGTGAAATTATTAAGAAAGTCTTTGACCTTTACTGAAAAATTAACTATAAAATTCTGTCATGTGAGCATTTCTATAGCTATTATTTTAATGACCAATCATGGTTGGGCATAGGTAATAACTGTTTTTTATACTTTGTATCTTTCATCAATTTAAAGAATACAATGAGTTTTAGAGTTTTTCGTCTTTCATTCTCTCATTTTACAGATGAGAAAATTACCACCCATGGAAGTGACATTTTTATGACTGCTTAGAATCATGTGCTATAAAGCTTTTGAAATTTTAATTTGACCTTCTTGGTTAGTCTAGAGTTACTTAGCCAATTGTTGGATAAGTTTGTTTCTTTTACTCACTGTTGCTGCCTCTCTTTTGGCTTCTAAATATATATTAATAACTATACTAGGTAGAAGAATGGGAAGGGAAAAGATAAAAAAATCTGGTCAGAAACAGTTTTGTTGCTTGTTAGCAGGTCTGGTCAGAGAAGCCAAAAGAACATAAAAATATATTAATAAACAAAACATTCATCTCTGTGAGGAAAACAAGTTTCAGAGATTTAATTTTTTAAACCTGTGAAACATCTAAACTATTCATTCTACTTGCAGTGGAGGGAAGCAGAGCCTTCAGTGATCCTAAAGTGACTTGATAGATGAATGCAGTTAGGTTTTTCAAATGCATATTAGCACTTTTGTGAGGATCCATTTTGTTGAAGTTGGGTGGTAGTTCTTGAAATACAATGCTGTGTGAACAGAGCTACTCTTTTAGTCTACTTTATGTAGGATAAAAAAGGCTTATGTTTATATGTAACACCTCAGTATTTATAAAGTTGTTGTTGTTGACTCATAGCAACTGTGTACTGGGTTTCTCTAGAAGCAGCTGGTGAGTTTGAACCGCTGACCTTTCAGTTCAAACCGACCTTGTGGCTCAGTGCATTATCCTGCAACACCACACCAGGAACTCCAATATTATTCAGATGACAACAAATATTTATTGAGTTTGTATCCTGATCACTATTTTCTTGATTTCTGAGCTAAAAATAGTTACAATTATTGGAGGTCACAATTGTAGTGCCAGGGTTAGTGCTGCATGAAGATGTTTTATATCATATAGAATCTCACTTAATTCTTCTAAAAATAGCTAACTTACCCGACTATTCTTTGAATGATGTTATTGTTATGACCACTTTGCAGATGAGGCACAGAAAGATTAAGTTGCCTGCCCAATGCAAACTAATAGCAAATGTGGGACCAAGGTTCCAATTGAGATAACTTGATTCTGTAGCCAAAGTTCTTAAGATGCTGTAGGATAAGCTCTAGACTGCTAAACACAAGGTCCCAGTTCAAAAACACCAGCTTCTCCTCGGAAACCTTATACAGGGGTCACTACAACTCAGAACCCATTGATTCAGCAACACTTAACAGGCGAGAAGCAAAAACAGAAACAAAATGCTTGGCAGAGTGTAGCTTTATTTAACTTAAAGTGACTTGCCTCTTCTTGGTTTTGTACTAGTTCATTTCCAAATGAAGGAGCCCTGGTGGAGTAGTGGGTTAAGCGTTGGACTGCAAAGGAAAGGCTGGTGATTTGAACCCACCAAATGCTCTGCAGTAGAAAGCTGGAGTAATCTGCTTCCATAAAGTTATACAGCCTGGGAAACCTTACACATCAGTTCTACTCTGGTCTACAAGGACACTATGAATCAGGATAGACTCCACAGCAGTATATATACAGGGGGTTTCTAAAAGTTTGTGGGAAAAATCCATTATCTTTTAATTCATCTTTTGCACAAACTTTTTGAGTCATCTTCATATATAATTACAAATGAAAGACCTTGGCAGTCTATTTGTATTTTGACCATGCTAGAAAAGATAGAACTTAGAAATAGAGGACCTGAATTTAAAGTGTCCGGGAGAAAAGCATTTAGAAATCAACGAAAATGAAAATGCTTTTTTAGATTCTTTAATCTTTCCGGTTTTTTCCAATCCTACTCTTTAGCTTGCAGTAGGCTTCATCAGCAGGATAAATTAATATACATATAGAAGCAAAGTCAACAGAGGTATTTGACTTGTTTTTTCCCTTCTGTGAATAATGTAATGATAGGTATATAGAGATAACTCTACTTATATAAATAAACAAAATGTTCCAGAGGTTGCTGTAGTGGTTAAGTGCCGTGGAGTCCCTTACAACTCATAGTGACTCTGCATAGGGTTTCTAAGGAGTGGTTGGTGGGTTTGCATTGCCCTTGGGGTTAGCAGTCCAGTGCTTACCCTATAGCACCACACCAGGACTCCGTCCATGCGTTGTATGCAGATGTGCAGACTTCCCTGTATGTTAAGGCTGGTGACTCTAGTGTAAGTTTCTCAAAATAAGTGTATAGGTCAGATAAGGCTTTGGGTAAAGGAATTACAGAAAGTTTCTCGTTTATTGTTGTTAAGTGCAGTCGAGTTGATTCCAACTCATAGCTACCCTGTATAGCAGGGATGGGGAAACTTTTTTCTGCTAAGAGCCATTTGGATAATTATAACACTATTTGTAGACCATAGGAAATTATCCGCTTAAAAAATTGTTGTTGTTAAGTACTGTTGAGTCGGTTCTGACCCATAGTGCCCCTGTATAGGGTTTCTGAGGAGCAGCTGGTGAGTTGAACCACTGACCTTGCAGTTCAAATGGCTTTGTAGTCTGACGCATTAACCCACAGTGCCACACCAATCTGTTATAATGTGATGGCTGGAACAGTGGTTGCCTTGGCATGGCCATACCAAATGATTTTGCTAGCCTTATATGGCCTGTGGGCTGGATGTTCCCCATCCATGTTGTATAGGGTTTCCAAGGAACAGCTGGTGGGTTTGAACCACTGAACCACCGCCTTATGGTTCAAAGTACAGTACTTAATCATACAGTGCCACACCAGGAGTCATTTAGGGAGCATGTTTTTTAGTCAATTTTTTTTTCACTTTCCAAAAATGCTTCTGGGCAGAGCATATCTGAAATATTCTGTAGTGTGTCTTTCTTTGGATTCAGATGATTTTCAAGCCCTGTTATCCAGCCCCTTGTGACAGTTGATCAATTGAACTATGACAAACATACTGGTGAACTGAGTTTTTAATTTAATTTAAATTTAAAAACTAGTCCTCTTTAGTTATTAGAAAACTTTTAATCATGCTTGGAACAAATTGGTTATGTGAACCTTGTTTTTCAACAGTGAAGTTTATGAACAGGGTCTCTAGGAAAAGGTATAGAATACAACTATTACTCTAGATATCCATACCCTAGATCAATGTCAATTATCAGTGTCTTATATATATATATATATATATATATATATATATATATATATATAATATGTTGTTGTTGTTTTTGTTTTTGTTAAGCCCTGTCGAGTCAGTTCCAATTTATAGTGACCCTATACAGGGTTTCTGAGGAGCAGCTTGTGAGTTTGAGCCATCAACCTTGCAGTTCAAACTGCCTTACAGTCCATTGCTTATCCTATAGCACCACACCAGAACACACACTCTCTCTCTACACACGCACACACACACAGAGCTCTGGTAGTGTAGTGGTTACCAATCGGGCTGCTAATCTCATGGTCAGCTGTTTGAAACAACCAGTTGTTCCACGGGAGGAAGATGAGGCTTTCTGCTCCCGTAAAGATTTACAGTCTCAGAAACCCTGTACAAGGTCGCTATGAGTTGGAACCAACTCCACGGCACATAACACCAACAACAACATACACATAGTGTGGCGCTGTGGAATAATGTGTTAGACTGCAAAGTCAGTTTGAACAGCAAGGTTGGCCATTCAAGCTCACCAGCTGCTCATGGAAACCCTAGAGAGGGTTGCTATGGGTTGGAACCAACTCAATGGCACTTAATAACAACAATGTTGTTGTTGTTGTTTTGTGCCGTGGAGTCAGTTCCAACTCATAGCGACCCTGTACAGAGTTTCCAAGACTATAAATCTTTATGGGAGCATGAAGCC